AACGTAATTGCATGTTTCCACGAGCTGCAACTTTATCGTTTTCCAACTTAAAACGTCTCGACAGAAAGGTGCTTCGAAATAATGGAGGTTGTTTAAAAATGAGAGAGTACAATTGAAAGTACCCGATCGAGGTAGCGCGAATAAATAATGAAACGAATCGAAGAAGCAATTCGGCAGCGATTAATATTCAATCGGAACGTTGCAATTAGCGGTTTCAATTATTTACAAGGAAGACCACGGGACCGAAGTCGATGTTTTCTTGCACATTTTATCGCGACAAGTAATTCGGATAATTGACTGGTTGTCATCCAGTAAATTGCTCGATAATTAATATTGTAGCGTAATCGATATTCTGTTTCCGTCATGGGTGGCAGTCGTAATCGATCCTTCTCTTCTTTCGTCCGTCGAAGAGAAGCTTCATTTACCAAACTGTTATCGATATCACGACCGTGGATACATCGTGATTACCCAGGCCACGTTCACGGACTTCCATTTGACGCGCTTTTAACGTTGATTCAACGGAGGAGGCCATAATGGAGGCAGCAAACACGATTAAAATAATTAGGGATGCATGAGACTCGATGCAATTTGTCAGCTGGAAACCGACTAAATAACCGTTTAAACAGGCGCCGCGATTCCACCACGATGCTGTTCACGTTACAAGCTGTTCCTCATATTACAAACTCACGTTTTATAACCTGTATAGCAAGCTCAACGCTTAAGCAAGTGCAATAAATTAGCGTTGCATTTTCGTGTGTTACTTTGCTACTCATGGAGTTGTCAGGCAGTGCATTATCACGCGTATAGTCACGACACGTAAAATTCGTACTCCGGGAATTGCAACGTATGAATTTACTATGTGTGGAGTTGCGATGCGTGGTATTTCTTATGTAGGGAATTGTGTCACAGGAATTTGGCACGTGTAGAATTGCCACGCGTGGAATTGCAACGAATGAATTTCCTACAAATGGAGCTGCGATGCGTGGAATTGCAACGCATGAATTTCCTACGCGTGGAGTTGCGATGCGTGGAATTTCTTATGTAGGAAATTGTGTCATAGAAATTTGACGTGTGTGGAATTGCTACGCGTGGAATTGCGACGCATGAATTTCCTACGCGTAGAGTTGCGACGCGTGGAGCTGCAACACTGATATGCGTGATATAAGTAAAACTGTGCTTAGAATTGCTTTGCTAGATCACTCACATTGCAATTCGCAGAATTGTTACGTGTGATATTGTCGCTAGTATAAAAGAATATAGAAATAAACGTGAAAGATAGCCATTGAAGAAAGAGCAGATGTAATCCTTGTTGGATATTGAGAAAAGAGTTTGCATGCTTGAAAGTTACGTGAAACACAATGTGTAGACCAGTTGCTGGTTCGAGTTCTATATCAGTGTAACGTCAGCTTGCATTTACTTTTCCGTCTGCGTTCTCCACAAGACATCTTGACAGCTGTTTTTCTCTCTGTCACCTATTCTCTTCCTAGCTATTCTTCTTTGTGCAATGATATTTTAAACGTTCCGATTTATCTCGCAGATATTTCTATTTTTATCCTTCGGCGTAATCGATTCACGATCGGAATAACAAATCTGTCTTCCACAAACAATTTCGTATTGTTTCTTCGAAGGATGAGGAAAATTCGCGGATTCGATACGTGACTGCATTTCGAGGCGAGTAGAACGAATCGTTCGATGCAAGTTTAACTTTCAATTAAAGGAATTCCATAGACTATCCGACATGATTATTCTTTCTGGATAACGAACGCGGAATATGCAGCTTACAAAGGAACAAAGAAACAAATCAGCGAGTTAATATTGACTGGCCTACTTTTTAAATTGCTCGATGCACCGTCGGTTTGTTACTTCGCCGAGGCTGTTTCGAATATTGAACCTCTCCTAATTGCTGTACACTTTTCGAGCTCGAGATCTTCTTAAGAATCTCATTATCTTTCTTCTGCTACAACAGAGCAAACACAAATGTGACTGGTCAACTTTTCCTCGAGAAAACGGACTCTCGGTCAAAGCTCTTTTGGGAACTCGATAGTTTAGATGTTTTCAAATGCTCTACATTTTTTAATTTTCTAATTTCTGAATAAGTGAATTTATAAATTTCCATATTACCCAATTTCACATTCGCCAATTCCACATTTTGCCAATTCCACATTCCCCAATTCCCACTTTCCCCAATTTCTACATTCTCCAATTTCACATTCCCCTATTCCCACTTTCCCCAATTTCCACATTCCCCAATTCCACATTTCCCAATTCCCACTTTCCTCAATTTCCACATTCTCCAATTCCACATTCCTCAGTTCCACATTTCCCAATTCCCACTTTCCCCAAATTCCATATTCTCCAATTCCACATTCCCCAATTCCCACTTTCCCCAATTCCCACATTCCTGAATCCCACATTCCCCAATTCCACATATCCCAATTCTACATTCCCCAATTCCCAAATTCTCCAAGCCCCGAATTCCCAAATCCCCATTTCCCAAATTCCCAAATTCCCAATTTGCAAAGCTTATACACCTCCCAATTTCCGAATTGGAAAATGAAGTTTTGAAACGACCGAGTTGGACGTTTTCACGGTTGTAGCGGTGTTAATGCATTTGCGAGGAGAAATGGAAACGAGGTCGAAAACAAAACGTTGGCGGAAATGTCAGGCGAAAATGGACACGAAATTCAGGATCGTGTCGCCGGATTGAGACGTGCGGGCACGTAATTCGTTATTGCGGACAGAAAATGTACGTGGCCCCGGAAGTGGCGGGCGTCGATTCGACGTCGAAGCACGTCGGGACGCCTCTGCGGATCCTGCTTGCCTCTGCAGCAATCGATGCATCAATTTCGACCACTACAACGCTCCACGTGGATTTCATCCAGTCTCTTATACTTCACCGAATATCAATTGAATTTTTCAAACCTATTACTCCTCCTCTGTTACTCCCTCCCCTTTCCTCCTGGAAATGAAATCGTTTGGTACCTGCGAAATGATAAAATGGCGTTACTCGTTCTGATAGGAAGTTCGAGTGCACTGACACGAATATTAACTTAATTTTGCATCTGAAATCATCTTTACTTTTGAAACGCCCTGTACAGTTATCTTGATACACTTAATTTCTTATATTAGTTTCGAAATGTTTGTTGTAGTCTGTGATAGAAAGATTTAAGTGGAAAGTGATGTATACCTTGACGTATGAAGTATAAGGCTGATCCATTGACTTGCATCACGGAAGCAGTAGATCCATCCTATGATTAATTGCTGATCAAAGATTTTCAGCAATATATCAGCTTCTACAGCGTCGTGGTTTTTCGTCAGAAAATTGAATATCCGTAGCTTGCGCTGTTATTATAAATTGCTGGATCAATGCTTGACTCGAACTACTGCGAACTTAATCCCATTAATCTACCGCGTAATTGATAACCAAACTTTGCGAACCAGTGTGCTAGCTTCCCTGGCTTCGTGGTTCTTTCTTTTCGTCAGAGAATTAATGATTCGAATGCTCGTATTATTGTAATAAATTACAGGCTGAATGTTGGGGAAAATGGTTGACTCGAACTACTGCGAACTCGGTTGTTCTGCCAGAAGAAATTTATGAGAAATATTTCAAACGAAAAATTACGTCTTTATTTTATGCTTGACAATTATTCCGGTATACGTAATCTTATTCTATTTGAAGTCTATCTTGCATACAGTATCCTCGCCAAATGGCGCCATTAAAATACCGAAAAGTAATCGGAGATTGACCCGAACTTTTTACCAAACGATTCGATTAAATGATTGCCAACTGTGCCAAGAAGATACCGGAAATAACCGCAACAATCTTCTTTGCATTATTACGAACGATCGCGGTTTACTCGCGAATATTATACCGCGAACGTTGCAACGGCATGCTCTTATTACGGTTATCACGAAGACAACAAGTGACTACAGATAAATTTCACGTCGACTGGAAGGAAAAATGCGCGCTGTAACCGATGCATTCAGCGATATTTCCTGCGAGATTCTCACATTTCTGAGGATTCGTGTTCTGTTATCGTTGCGGTTTCCTCTGTGTACCGATCATGTATCGTTACGCGAGAAACGTTTCACTCTAGAAAATACAGATAACAGGGAACACAAGCTACGCTTTTCGTCGACCTACAAATTCTATTTTCGCTGAATTTTACTTTACTTCGTGGAATAAAGAAATTTCATTTTACCAAATTTATGAGACTAGGTCAATAGTGCCCTGGGCTCACGAAATGTATACCTCGAGCAAACTTACTCGGAGCTTATAATATATTGGGAAAACAAGAGAAAGGGAAAAAGAAAATTAAAGTTTAAATCTTTAAACGCATCGAATCGAAGAAGTTGCTATCTGATGCTTAATTTAATAGCCGATTAGACTGAAAGATTAACGGTACATGGACGCAAATATTTTTTACCATAAAATTTCTGAACGAGAAGGAACTTCGAGCAATCCAAATCTGCTTCTAAAAAAAAATTCTTCCCCGAATCTATCGAGGCAGCGACCGCTATTAAAACTTGTTAACTAAAACATTTCCACTTCGGTCTCCGTATTTCGATTAAAACTTTGCCGTTCTATTAGACATTCAAATCAACAGAAACTTCGGGAGCAGCCTCCAGAGTGTGGCTTATGCGAGCTTCAATCTTAATTCCCTGTTGAGAACTCGCTTACGTCCGATCATCGTCTACCCAAGAATCTCCATAATTCGCATCGTTTCCGGTTCACAGAAATTACTTATTGAATCGTTACTTAGCAAAAGCTTCGCGAGCTACGTTTTTACTTCGAGATCAATATCTGTAATCGGAGATAAGGGAAATTGGTAAACCTTCGAGGTTGTTACGTTTATCGGGACAAAGTTATGTCCTCGTGAATTTCTGTGACGTAAGAAACGAAGACAAAGCCGATAGACCATTTGTCAGAGCTCGCAGACATCGAGCACGGCAAAGAAGCTTACATGAATTATATGGAAACCTTTATTTTCTTTTTGCAGGCGATGGCTGTGGCGCCGGAGGAGATGGCGACTCCATGGTGGGCGGCGGCAATTCCGAGAAAAAGGCGGAATTGGAGACAAATCTCTTCCTCTATAACGTATGTACTTCAATCCGTATCAAATGAAAATCTACTTTCATTGTAACGTTTTATTCCTCCGCGAAATACACCGATTATCTTACGACGAGTAACATTTTTCTATTCAAAAATTAATTATAAACACTCGTATCATCTAGCTTTATACGTCGATACTTCACTGCACAATAATATAGCACGAAATCCCATCGGCAATAGCATGCCTGGCAGAAGGAATAGTATTGTGTTTGCGTCCTGTTGGGTTCGTTGCGTGTATAATAGCGGAGCCACGGCGAAAGTTGAACGGATAAGAAAACTGGGACGACGGAGGCTCTCCCTTTCTTGAAAGAAGGGTCCTTCATTAAAACGCGAAAGTAAGAGGAAGGGTGGCGAAAGGGGTTGAATTCTCTCAAGTGTGCAATTCGCTTAATTGTCGTTCAACGAACAAGCAAGCCGCGAATGGATTCTTCTGCGGTCGTACATCCTTTTTCTTTTTTTTTTATTGTTCCACTGTTACTCATCCACGGTGTTCACCTTTGTTCGTCGAGATCGTTTTGCTTTTCTTCGCTTTCGATTGCCTGGATTCCTCGTGGACGTAGAGAAAACATGTCTACCAAGGGTAGTAGTACATTCGATAGGTTTTTAAGAAAAGTACCACTACGCGTGAAGAATAACAGCGAGAATAACGCGCGTAGAAAAATGATGAAAAGGTAGAAGCAGCTGGTTACATGGAACTCGATCAGAAGAGGCTCCTTTACCACTTTTCCGCCTCGTTTCGCCTACAAAGAGACAGAAACAGGGATACAGGGAAAATCAACGACGATAAGGAGGAGGGGGTTGTTCTGGTCGGAGATAATTTCGACAGAGACCTTCCAAGAAGAGAAACGGATAATTGGATATCCAGGAATCGAGGTCGAAGCCAAACCGCGTTTCGGTCTGCGAGGAACCGAAAGAGCACGTTAATTAACGGTCTATAAGGGCTACCATTCCAGTCAGCTTTCTGCCTATGGACCACCGTTTTCTCTCATTTTTCCTCTATCTATTCACATCGAAATAATATCCTTACGTATCCATCTAGGGCATCGTGGGTTTAGTCACGACAATTTCTAATTTTCTTATTTTCACTTTCTGAACTTATAAATTAAATTACGAAACGACAGTGTCGCTCCGAGTATAATTACCATCAACTATTTTAGCTCACTTAGTCTGGAATTGTTCTCCGTCCAAGAAACAAATTGCTGTCCCTTATAATCGTTACTGTTCGAATAGATCGTCGAGTGGAAAGTTCTTTCGATTCGTTCTCGGCAACGATATTTCACTAAATCGAGGTTCAGTTTTCACGTAACCCGGGAAACGTGATTGCAGGATCGCGTTTCGCTTAATTATCTCTCGCAGATCACGCAATTATCCAGGCGGTGGTTAACGTTCGCAACACGCGACGACCTTTTTTTCCCTTACGAGAAACGAGAATCGCGTAAGACGACGCGACGTCTCGTTAATTAATTAATTAAGCGCTCACGTTGATTAATCTCCGAGCAACGCGACCGTCCGTCCAATTAAAACGTTCGATTCATTTATCGTTTCTTTTTTCGTCGATATTCTCTTCTCTCGTCCACGTTGAATATTTATACCCCTCCTTTAATTGCTTCTCCGATCATACTTTTCCTTAACGAACACAATTTTTGAAGTCAAAGTTCTCCCAGCATAGATCGTGGAATTTTAAAACTTTGACAACTCTGGGTTTCTCCATTTGTACCAAGCAGAAAATGAATTAAAAGAACGCTAACCAAATTGAAATAAACATTTTCAGGAGGAGATGGAAGTCCGGCCTCGTATCTCCACGCTGCTCAAAAGTCTGTCGGACTACAGCAACACTATCCCAGCCGCGACTGACCCGGACACCAGGCCCCCGCCCGCCCCGGGTGGCGCACGGATGGGCACCCTGATCGGTGTCTTTCTTCCTTGTATTCAGAATATCTTCGGTGTAATCTTGTTCATTCGTCTGACTTGGGTCGTGGGTACAGCTGGTGCCATACAGGGCTTCTTCATCGTGCTATGTTGCTGTTGCGTGGTAAGTACTTTGCCTTACCCTTCGCCCAACTTCCAAAACTCGTGGACTATCGGAGAGTTATTTGTACGCAGACAATGTTGACGGCTATCAGCATGAGCGCCATCGCGACCAACGGTGTGGTGCCAGCCGGTGGGTCCTACTTCATGATATCTAGAAGTTTGGGTCCAGAGTTTGGTGGTGCCGTGGGGATGTTATTTTACACGGGCACCACTCTGGCCGCCGCCATGTACATCATTGGTGCCGTTGAAATAGTCCTGGTAAGTTCTACTTCTGACCGAAATTTCGGAAGTAACAAGTTTGTTGTAACAAAATTTCATGTTGCAAAACCTCTTTCAGACTTACATGGCACCGTCTCTCAGTATATTCGGAGACTTCACCAAGGATCCGAATATCATGTACAATAACTTTCGAGTGTACGGTACGGGGTTGCTGATGGTAATGGGCACCATAGTGTTCGTCGGCGTGAAATTTGTCAATAAGTTCGCTACGGTTGCCCTGGCCTGCGTCATATTCTCGATCGTGGCTGTCTACGTGGGGCTGTTCCGCAACTTCTACGGAAACGAGTCCCTCAAGTTCGTACCTTCGCATTGTCCGAATAATGCTACCGGTGTCGCGTCACGTTGTGTTAACGCGACTCTTCGATCGTTCCAGGATGTGTGTTCTGGGTAGAAGGCTGCTGAAGGACATCAACGTGTTAACGGAATGTAACAAGAATACTACCGGTGTTCTACACCAGATCTACTGCGGAAACAGCACCAAATGCGACCCGTATTATATGGAGAACAACGTGACAATCGTAAACGGCATTCGTGGACTGGCTAGTGGTGTATTCTTAGGTACTTGGACTTCGTTTAAACTACATTCGTATAATGAGAGATTAACTAACTATGACAAGTGTCTTTCTTCCTTGTATTCAGAATATCTTCGGTGTAATCTTGTTCATTCGTCTGACTTGGGTCGTGGGTACAGCTGGTGCCATACAGGGCTTCTTCATCGTGCTATGTTGCTGTTGCGTGGTAAGTACTTTGCCTTACCCTTCGCCCAACTTCCAAAACTCGTGGACTATCGGAGAGTTATTTGTACGCAGACAATGTTGACGGCTATCAGCATGAGCGCCATCGCGACCAACGGTGTGGTGCCAGCCGGTGGGTCCTACTTCATGATATCTAGAAGTTTGGGTCCAGAGTTTGGTGGTGCCGTGGGGATGTTATTTTACACGGGCACCACTCTGGCCGCCGCCATGTACATCATTGGTGCCGTTGAAATAGTCCTGGTAAGTTCTACTTCTGACCGAAATTTCGGAAGTAACAAGTTTGTTGTAACAAAATTTCATGTTGCAAAACCTCTTTCAGACTTACATGGCACCGTCTCTCAGTATATTCGGAGACTTCACCAAGGATCCGAATATCATGTACAATAACTTTCGAGTGTACGGTACGGGGTTGCTGATGGTAATGGGCACCATAGTGTTCGTCGGCGTGAAATTTGTCAATAAGTTCGCTACGGTTGCCCTGGCCTGCGTCATATTCTCGATCGTGGCTGTCTACGTGGGGCTGTTCCGCAACTTCTACGGAAACGAGTCCCTCAAGTTCGTACCTTCGCATTGTCCGAATAATGCTACCGGTGTCGCGTCACGTTGTGTTAACGCGACTCTTCGATCGTTCCAGGATGTGTGTTCTGGGTAGAAGGCTGCTGAAGGACATCAACGTGTTAACGGAATGTAACAAGAATACTACCGGTGTTCTACACCAGATCTACTGCGGAAACAGCACCAAATGCGACCCGTATTATATGGAGAACAACGTGACAATCGTAAACGGCATTCGTGGACTGGCTAGTGGTGTATTCTTAGGTACTTGGACTTCGTTTAAACTACATTCGTATAATGAGAGATTAACTAACTATGACAATTGTTATGTCCAGAAAACATATGGGACAGTTTTCAAGAGGAGGGTCAACTGATCGCTTACGGAAAAGATCCGAAGGACATCGACATGATGTCGTCATCCAGCTTCAATCAGATTCAGGTCGATCTCACCACAACCTTCACCATTCTCATCGGTATATTCTTCCCTTCCGTCACGGGTAAGCTATCTATTCAACACCTACGGCCTAAGTTTCTAACGCATCGATAACTAATAACTGTTCCATGTCGTTTGAAGGTATTATGGCCGGCTCCAATAGATCAGGTGATCTAGCAGACGCCCAAAAGTCTATCCCGATCGGTACCATCTGCGCTATCCTGACAACTTCGACGGTGTACCTGTCCTGCGTGCTGCTGTTCGCCGGTACGGTGGACAATCTGTTGTTGAGAGACAAATTTGGTCAGAGTATCGGCGGCAAACTGGTCGTGGCGAACATGGCGTGGCCGAATCAATGGGTGATTCTGATCGGTTCGTTCCTGTCGACTCTCGGAGCGGGTCTCCAGTCGTTAACGGGAGCTCCGCGTCTGCTTCAAGCCATCGCCAAAGACAGCATCATCCCGTTCTTGGCTCCGTTTGCCACTAGCTCGAGTCGCGGCGAGCCTACCAGGGCTCTGGTGCTGACGGTGATCATCTGCCAGTGCGGTATCCTTCTCGGCAACGTCGATTACCTGGCCCCCTTACTGTCCATGTTCTTCCTGATGTGTTACGGCTTCGTCAACCTTGCCTGCGCACTGCAAACGCTCCTGAGAACGCCTAACTGGCGACCCAGGTTCAAATATTACCACTGGAGCCTCTCGTTCCTAGGCTTGTCTCTCTGTATCGCCATAATGTTCATGACTAGTTGGTACTACGCGTTGTTAGCCATGGGAATGGCCGGTTGCATCTACAAGTACATCGAGTATCGCGGAGCCGAGAAGGAATGGGGCGACGGTATCCGCGGTCTAGCCCTATCCGCTGCTCGTTACTCGCTCCTGCGACTCGAAGAAGGCCCACCGCACACGAAGAACTGGAGACCGCAAATATTGATCCTGGCCAAGCTGACCGACGACCTGGTGCCCAAATATCGTAAGATGTTCGCGTTCGCGAGTCAACTGAAGGCTGGCAAAGGTTTGACGATCTGCGTCAGCTGCATCGAGGGAGACTACATTCAGAACACCGGCAAGACCGTGGCCGCTAAGGTGAACTTGCGCAAGACGATCGTGGAAGAGAAGGTGAAGGGATTCGTGGACGTTCTGGTGGCTACAGACATCGTCGACGGTCTGAGTTCGCTGGTACAGACCACGGGATTAGGTGGAATGAAGCCCAACACCGTGATTCTTGGCTGGCCATATCGTTGGAAGCAGTCGCAAGAAGACAGAACCTGGAGAGCGTTCCTGCAGACTGTCAGAACGGCCACGGCAGCAAGGATGGCCCTCCTGGTACCCAAGGGAATCAACTTCTTCCCTGACTCGACGGAGAAAGTGGTCGGGAACATCGACATATGGTGGATCGTGCACGACGGTGGTCTTTTGATGCTGTTACCTTTCCTCCTGAAGCAACATCGTACGTGGAAGAACTGCAAGATGAGGATCTTCACTGTCGCGCAAATTGAGGACAACTCTATTCAGATGAAGAAGGACTTAAAGAAGTTCCTATACGATTTGAGGATCGAGGCCGAAGTAGAGATCGTGGAAATGGTAAGTTAACTTGTCTATAATGTAACCATTAATTCGAAGATAAAAATTGATGGAGATCGATGGAAAAATGTTATCAGAGTCCATCGTTCGACCAAAATTTATAAACTTTCTAACAACGTGTTCATAAAGGCTAACGGGATTTTATAATTGTGACCTACAGATAGATTCCGATATATCCGCCTACACGTACGAACGAACCCTGCAGATGGAACAGAGGAACCAGATTCTGAGGGAGTTGCAGCTGAACAAGAAGCAGACCCTTGGAGTGGTAAGTGACGGAATCGCGAAAACGAGAACCGCCCGTACAAGACAATGCGAATTGTGTAGTACAATATATGTTTAATAATGTAATATGAAAACTGCTACGTCGATACTGATCGGTATGTGTCTGTTTGTTGCGTGCTCGTCGCGGATAAGGAGGAGCCATTGGTGGACTTCAACGAGGTACCCGCTGAAGAAAATTTACCTCTGGTTTGTCAGACAATCCCCGGAGATCCTTCCGACTGTTTGTTCCCCTCAATTTTGGTGTCATCGACACTCGTGTTCCACGATCCTCCAATTTCCATCTTTCTCTCTCTCTCTCTCTGTTCATGTTCTTTTATTTTTCTTCCGTAACAACGCATCTCGTTTGTCGACTCCATTACACTGACGAACACGCACGCGTTAATCGAATCGAGTTAACTCATCCTGTCGTAATAGATCCGTCTTCTTGGAGATGAGCCGGGAATCGTTATTTCAGGACACTTACGATTCCTTTTTAACGGCAGCTAAAAAAAACATTTATCCTGCGATCGTTGACCTCCACATGTTTGCTTTCTGGCTCTTACGAACAATTATCCCTGGACCCCATGACCGGATCTAGTTTCAGCTTGATTGGCACGTTCATTACGAATGCTTACGTAGCGATCATTCAGTTTAGTCAGATCATAGAGTGCTTTGACGCTAGAGTTAGTCGTCTTTCGACACACCTAACTGTCTTCTGCTGTTCGGGACACGGTGGTCCGACACAGTTCACCGACGCTTTCCGTCCTGATACAGGTGCAGGCGATCGTGGACCATCACCACAACGTGGACGCCAAGATTCCGACCAAGGTCAGGTTCCAGGAGCCAGGAAGTCAGAACCCGAACATCGACGAGGCCCGGGAGAAGCTCGTCCAGGAAAACGAGACAGGTAAAGGATTAGAGGCAGGAGACGGAAACGAGACCGGAGAAGAAACCAAAGAGGGCAACGACGAAGAGACCAAGCTGATCGGTGGTTCGCCGAAACAGGATAACAAAGAGAACGCGGAGAAAGAGGAGAAGGAGAACGAGGACAAGGCGGAAGCCGAGGAATGCGTCGTCACGCCGTAAGTAACTCGAACATATTTCTGATATTTTTATTACTTTTACTCGAGAGACATTTCTTCTCGTTCACAGCGACGAAAGCGACGTAAGGCGTATGCACACCTCCGTAAAACTGAACGAGGTAATCGTGAAAACGAGCAAAGACGCTCAATTAGTCATCATCAATCTACCTGGACCACCACGAGACACTAGAATGGAACGTGAATCAAACTGTATCCTTTCGATTCGATCTCGTGTTTGGTGTTCTTCTTATCGTTTGTTATTTTTTGTAATTTCCTTAACGAAAACTACGCAGATATGGAATTCCTGGAGGTCCTGACAACGGGATTGGAAAGAGTGCTGATGGTACGAGGTTGCGGACGGGAGGTGATCACCATCTACTCGTGAACTAGACCAAGAGGAATGGAAGTAATCGCCTCGCATAAACAGAAATCTAGTTTACTTCTGAAAGACCTAAACGACTTCACCCTAAGGAACACGTTGCTCTTGTGCCATTGTCTGAGCAGTCACTTGCGTTGCGCGTTGTGAACACGTATACAGGACACACATTAACACACGTACACGTACATGTACATAGACACACGGTTTACCAGAAAAAAAGGAGTACGAACATCGATCGACGACGCTGTTTCGCGGACTGGGTCGACGATCGAAAAATGCTCGTAGGCTAGTAACAAGCTGACCCTCGAGAAGGCCAAAAGTGACATGCCAAAGGATAAGTTCCCTTCGAATGAATTTCACGCGTAAACTAGGATACGTAGGATCTATCTTATTTACACTCGTCCCTTTTTCTCGAAGAAATAGACGAAACGCGGACTTTTACTCGTTGACGCTACGCGCGTTGACGCGCGGCCAACAGCCTAGCACCGGAGGACTGTAAACACGGAGCATCGCGTTCGATCTTGACACTCGAAATCGGGTTCTCGAAGAGCCTCGATTCGAACAGAGCGTATTCTTCGTCGCAGAGGCAAACTTTCGATCCTAGGGACGAGGAAACGGGATAATCGAGAGGGTCGACAGAAATGGAAACCGACACGTCCCCGAATTCAAATTCTACTCCGGTCACCGAGATATATTATATATATATACTATCGTGTACTCCACATCTCCCCGTTCGAAACTGAAATCAAAATTTTTTGGTCCGAGGCTAAGATCGAAGCATCTACGAAACCACTGCCAGAATACTTTCTAAATGCTTCGCGTTTAACCAAAGACGCGAGAGGCTCATTTTTCTACACGCATTGTCGTTATAGAGTGTATAATTAGGTATGTATAATTCTACCGCTTATAGGGTGAACTTAGGGTAGCCTAGGGTAGCGCGTTGAAAACTCGCGCGGCGAAAGTTGGGCGGCGAACGTTGATTGCGCGAACGGTTTTATGTGGACGCAGGACCTCTAAAGGCGTTGTCTGCGAGAACGAATCTTTCTCCCTGTTAAGTGCTCGTACTGCTCGCGAAACTTTTCAACCTAAACGACCGTCATTCGAAGAAAAAAAAGTATGTTACTGCCAAAATTCTCGAAACTTGTTGATTAGAATTTGCAACGGACAACCGAGAACCGGGTAGGTGAAATCGATACGAACGAGGAGTTTTTGACTTTTGAATGTGCTAGAGAGAACATACATAGTACTAAGAATATATTACTTGAAATTACTAATTTATATTAACTACATCGATCTAACATCAGGATCTCATAGCAATACAAATTCTTAACCTACTTAAAGAAGTCGTGTAACACGGAATCCCTTAAAATTATAAAATCGCGTCACTGCATTGCTGAGAAACATAGAACTACTACCATTACTACTAATACTATTACTACTATTACTACTACGATTACGATTCTAAACACTAAATGTACTAAGGAAAGTATACTAATTCGCGTCACTGTTACATCGATATAACGTGAAAGACTAGCAATAATAGAACTAACGTAGGTCTCGAATTTCTTAATGTATTACAAAATACTCTATCGCGAAAGTCTTGGAATTACTAAAGTATAGGTCGCAGATTAATTAGGTACTAGAATGTCCGACCTCTCCGCGAGATCATACGGACTTTTAACTATATAAATGCTAGCAGCGATGCTAACATCGGTACGCACAGAACATCGATATGCAAAAATCTATCGTTCATCGTTTTATATATATATATACATATATATATGTACACATTCCACCATACGAAAACACGTCTCTCGACATTGCGTCCCCATAAAGGTTCGAGCCGTAGCGTTCCTTCCAACTACCGCCGCGAATGGCGAACGGAAGAAACACGGTGACTTATTCGCACGCATCTCCTTCAGGACTGAAGTTCGTTTTTTCCACTGTACTTCTCGACCTCTTGCGCGCCGAAATCTTCGTCTAGGTTCGCGTTTATACTGTCCAAGGCCTATCGGTCCGATTCACCGCTCTAACACGCCTCTGCGTAAAAGGGAACAGGCGCACGATCAACCTATGTACTTACGAATGTGCACGCGCGTGCGAATTGCGGCTGCGTTAACTCGTTAACCGCGTCTCAGAATCGTCTACCTTCCGTTAAGTTTATTCTATCCGAATACAGCGGAGTCTCTCTGTATGGCCGTAGAGGAACACTGCGCGACCAGCGATGTTCGGCCAAATAACGAGACTCGATTGTATACACGATCTACCTTGATCTCTGCGTAAATACAGTATTATACACCAAACGTACCCGCTTCTCGTCCCGTCCGGTTAACGAGTTAAACGAGCAACGCACAAGAGGGAACACGGTGAACGACTAACAGAAATATGTATGTCAGATTTCCATAACGATCCTTTAAACCGATTTTCATCGAACGATAGCGTGTAGCATTGTAATCGATTGCATTTAAGTGTCGTGTGCATGTCACGTTTCATGCGCGGCTTTGAAACTTTTTCGGCCGTGGCTCATCTCTTAGATAGGCACTATCTAATACGTATATATATACATATATATACACATACTTATATATGTATACAGGACGGATAGTTTCTCTGTGTAAAGAAAGGGCATCGAGAAGCGACGAGCAGAGGAGGAAATTGGTCCTTTTGAAGGGAAGATCGATCACCGGGTCGCTTTATCGTACTCGTCGATGTACGCTGTGTCTACTTAATCGAAACTCGCGAACGGACTGCCGGATGAAATTAATCGAGAAAGGTAGAGAGTCGAGCACTCGCGAATCGGTACCGCGAAAATTCTTCACCCGTTTTCTTCGATTTACCGTGTAACGCTGCCTCGATGATGTACAGGGTGATTCAAGAATGGGGTTTGACAACTTTCGAAACTGGCAACGCACCTTGTACTTATATAAGTATAGAACGATTCGATATCGAGCAATCTACGTGTTGTTATTAGAGAGAAATTTCAATTTATAGAGATTCTATTATAAACTGTATCTCGATTTGAAAGTACTTAATGGGCGGAGTTTTTATCTTGTAACTTGCTTCGCGAATCTCGATCGGCGTTTTGAAACATCCTGTACATGATCGAGGATACGTCGTCTTGACTCGAGCAACAAAGTTGCCAAGTATTGCGTCTACTGTCTGCTAGCGTTCGAAGCAGTTCGAAATTCAGGAGCAAATTCCGAAATATATTTGTTGTAGCGTCTCTTTATCTACCTCATCGCCAGCGCGCGTCGAATCGAGCGAAACGGAATCGTAAAAGATACGCGAGACGAAGCAGAATTCGATAAAACGGTCCGATAAAGCAATACGATGAGAAACGGAAGCGACGAACTGAAAAAAAACCCGGATATTGCACGAAGCCGATCAGACACGTGCAGGTTCGCGAGATGCATCCTCTGTCTCTGTATATCGTCCCACGATGTTGCGACATGTACTTTCTAATTTTAATACGTTACTCACTTGTCGATTACCATATATTTTATGTGTACTTGCCTATCTGATAGGCATCGGCACCGCATAGTTTATACAAGACATGTTGACTATGAGAAAAGTTTATCGCGTGAGAAAAAGAGCTGTTAGTCGAGGATACAGAATAATAAAAGAAGAAACAAAGGGAAGAGCAAAAGAGAAAAATGATTACGGATAAAATGCTAAATGTGTTGTACATAAATAAATAGTAGAATTTAAGGACGAGCAGGCGAGATGATTTAAAGGAGCGATCCTAGGGGACAAGAGAAATAAAAGCAAACGTTCGAGAAGAAAAGAGGAGGAAAGAAAGTGAAGAGAAACATCTTTTTCATAGATCAAACAGTATTGCAGTGTACTCCGCTGCCGCTTTAATATTTTACTATGTCGTGTTTACTTGAAAGAAAAAATGAACAAATGCACAATTGACCGTATGGACACACATACACACACGTTACGTAAGTGTAAGGAGAGCGATAAAAATTAAAACGAAGATTTTCGGAGAGGGTATACAAGTGCTCGGCGATCGTCATCGGGGATTATCGTGTGTAGTTTGCGATCTAACCCGTTATGAACGGGCCTTTGCGTCTGGTTTAAATCATCTTCTTAGGCTGTGAGATGCAAGCTAAGCCGGCAGAGAGACTTGCTCGAGACCTCAATCATATGTGTCAAATCAAGCGTCAGATATTATACGTATTATACATACATGCATACATACTTAAAAAAAAAAGAATCTTATATCTCGTTAATACCGAGTCTAGCCCTCTAACCGAGATCTATGCTCGCTCTTGGCGACATCACTTAGTTTTCTTCTCCTCGAACACACGCATACACACACATATACACATATACCTTTTAGCGTTCGAATTGTGGTTTCCGGTGAGATATAGCGCGTTCCTAAACGTCCAAGCGTTATAAGTTTAGTCTTATTTAAATTTCAAGTCTATTTCAATCCAACGTTTGAAAATTTAATAATCAGAATGTCATTTGCTATATGTGCGATGTTCTCCAATGTACTTGGCATCTTTCCACATGATTTTACTAACGGACCAGGTTTACGATCGCGCTATATTTCGGCGAGAATCGTGCAAAGTGGGGAAACATCGACTAGAAAAAGAAGATGAGAGAAGAACGAAGGAAAAGATTCCGATTCACGGGATGGAAACGAACGTTCACCGTTGAAGAGGAAGAGCGAGAAGAAGAGAGGATGCGTTTCGAAACGAATATATGTATATATAGATATGCACATATACGGATTCTATATATATGTGTATATATGTATATGTATATAAAGAAAAAACAAATATAAGATATATTTGTAGATACGAACATCTTTAGCCATCTGATTAGCATATGTAATAGAGTCAATACTGTGAAGATACCTATAACTTTACCCCTATACCCTGTTAGATCATAGACAATGATGATAAATACTTGTAATTAACTTATGGAAGATGAAGTATATCGAATGAAGAAACTATACTGCGATCAGATCGATTAAATAAATAAACGACATACACCTATACGACCAGACTTCTTTTACGGTATTTCTTACGAATTACTTCTTCGAATTATTTTCATCTTTTTTTTATTTTTCTTTCTACTTCCACGAGCGCGGTAAAACTTCCGAATGGAGACGCAGCGGAGATTCATCAAGAATGTTGATTATGTAAAAAAGGTAAGTAAATGATACGATAAAAAGTAAAAAACAAATCATATAACGCAGAAACATGTCCGTGAGTTACGCTGAGACGTTGTACGCATTTTTAAGGAACACATGAAAACTAATGACGTCATCATTGTGGGCGCTTCGGCCACTTTTTCTTTGATTACTTTCTTTGTAAAAATTTACTGCGCATGTCTATCTCTTACAGGTTAGGACTGCGCAGGTGGTCAAGGTTCACTGATTAATTCCCCGTACATAGCGCAGACATTCCACTAGTTAGTAATTAAATGATTAAACAATAAGTTTAATTAAGTTATGCATTGTATGAAAAGTGGTGAAAATAAAGAAATATTTATCATAAATCATTGTGTATTTATTGTTACCTAACAAACCCAACAAAATAAAAATTTACATATTCGAAAGAGAGAATTTGTATCACGAGAACATGAGAATTCCTGGAATTTGACGTCACCAAAATTCTAAGAAGTAGCATGATAGATACCTCTTCATACCTTATGTTCTCCTGATACAAATTTTCAAAATCGGTTCCGGGTATTTCAAAAGTCCCGCCTCGGGAATTCTTGGAAATGACGTCATCAAAATTCCAAGAAGTGGCACGAAGGATACCTCCTCACAACTTATGTTCTCCTGATACAAATTTTCAAAATCGATAAATTCTCAAAATCTGTCGGTGGATTTTCAAAAATCCCGCCCGGGAATTCCTGGAATTTGACGTCACCAAAATTCCAAGAAGTGGCACGAATACCTCCTCACAACTTATGTTCTCCTGATACATTTTCTCAAAATCGATCGGTGGAATTTTAAAAATCCCGCCCGGGAATTCTTGGAATTTGACGTCAT